TAGAGATGGGGTTTCACCATATTGACCAGGCTGGTCTCAAACTCCTGATCTCAGGTGATCTGCACATCTCAGCCACTCAAAGTGCTGGGATTACAGGCATGAGCCACTGCGCGTGGCCTAGAATACATTTTAGTGGATCTCTTAAAAGCATTTTACATTTGGCATCTGTATTATTACTCAGAGTCCTCTTCCAATGTGTTGATATTTTCTGCTTTTGAATAAATCCTTAGTGACAGGTTAATTCACTCACTCAACAAACATTTAGAGTCTCTAATTTATGTGAGGCATTCTATTAGGTGCCTGGAAACATAGACTGGAGAGATTTTGCTTGCCTTCATGCCTAGACTCAAAGGTGTGGACGCCTCCCTAATCCCTCACTCCTACCCTCCAGTCTAGTATTGCCAAAGTACCTCCTTGTATGTGATTATTTATGTTTGTCTCCCTCACCTGAGTGAATTCCTCCAAGGCAAACAGTATCTTATTCAATGTTGTTTTCCTAACATGGTGCATAGAAAACTGTTATAATAAATAAGTAAATTGAGTATACTGTTGTTTTCCATACTGGGGATCAGTATAAATTTGTGGAATACATACATTTTACAGATGAGGAAACTAAAGCTCAGAAAAGAATATGGTATGTCCAACATCATACAGCTAATAAGTAGTGCCCAATGTAAGAAAGCCTCATCCAGAGCTCTCTTATATTCCACCATGCCACATACTACACATGGATGGGAAGAGTGAAAGATCTTAGATGTCTTCCAAAGGTCCTCCCTCTGGAAAACAAAATAACCTGGTTCCCATTCAGTGTTCCCTTTCTCTGAAAATGTCATCCCCAGTTGCTCAAGAAAAAAACTCAATTCATTTAATGACTCCCTTTTCTCCCTATACCCCCATCCCGTCAATCAACAAATCTTATCAATTACAATTTTCAAACTTAAGGTGTCATCTGGGTGTGGTGGCTCATGCCTGTAATCCCAGCACTTTGGGAGGCTGAGCCAGGTGGATCACCTGAGGTCGGGAGTTCGAGACCAGCCTGGCAAATATGGTGAAACACCATCTCTACTAAAAATACAAAAGTTTGCTGGGCATGGTGGCGGGTGCCTGGAATTCCAGGTACTCAGGAGGCCAAGGCAGGAGGATCACTTGAACCTGGGAGGTTGAGGTTGCAGTGAGCTGAGATGGAGCCACTGCACTCCAGCCTGGACAACAAAAGCAAAACTCTGTCTCATAACAAAACAAAACTTAGTGTCTCTCCAGTCTCTTCCATTTTCTCTAAACCCTCTGTCACCACCCTAGATCTAAGCACCATCATCCCTCACATAGACAAGAAAAATTATTTGCTACTTGCTGTCTATATATTCACTCTGGCCAAGTCTTTCCTTCAATCTCCTCCACTTAACAGGCAGGGTAATATTTTAATATCATCCTACATATGCCGTTCACATAGTTTATTAAAGCTGGGCTAGGTTCTCATTACTCTTAGGACAAAAACCAAAATTCACCTGTAGCTCAGACTACTGCCTACTCTGTAGCCTCTGCCCACCTCTCCAGCCTCATTCTTCTTCATTCTAGTCTTTCTTCTCTTGCTCTGTCTCTGACTAATCTCCTCTCAAATCCTCATGTTCACTACTCTTCCCTTTGAATTTTGAACATGAAGTTCCCTCTGCCAGAAACCTTCTTTATTCCACTATGAGCATCTCCCACTGCCATCCTGAATTAGTGCTTCCACTTACCCTCCAAGTCTCTTGAAGTGTCACTTCCTATAGGAAACCTTTCCTGATAACCCAGACAAGGGGAAAGTACCATGTCAGGTACTCCTACCCAACCCTTTTTTGGAAATGGCATTCAATACACTTGCAATTATTTATTAAGTATATCCCCTATTAGAATATAAGCTCCATGAGGTCAGGGGAAGCATTTATTTTCACTGATGTATCCACAGTGCTTAGCACATGGGAGCTGCTCAATCAATATAAGTTGTCAGAATAATAGGTTGGGGCCAGATTATAGAGGGCTATAACATCAGTAAACCAAAAAGCAATGATCATTATCCCCTTACAAATAAGTAAACTGAAGCAGAAAGAAATGAATAGCTATTCAAGGTCCCAGAGACAGCAGTGATGGGGCCAAACCTAATGCTGCATTCAGCCCATTTCTCCTCAGAACAATAAAAGAAACCTTGGTAAGTAAGGAAGGATTTCAGAAGAAGAAAATTAGGAATGAGAAGGTGGTGGATGAAAAGTCTAAGAGGACAGCTTCTGAATCTGCCTGTCATACTAGTTGCCTCCAGATGGATAGCAGTTAGACTTTCCACACCTAGAGAAGCACTGCTTTTAGGTAAACAAATATAACAAACTTCTTTCCTCCACAAAGGAAAAGAAACGACGGGGGGCGGGTGGGAGCAAGGGGTGCGGGAGGAACTGTTGTTCTCCACGTATCTTCAAAAAACCAAATGGGCAGTTTGGCCACCTGGATTGCTCCTCAGCAATCCACAGGGAACAGGAAGGAAGGGAGGGGAGGGAAGAACAGCCTTCCCACTACCAGCTGGAGCAAGGATAAGGAAAAAAAATAATGCATTATATAAGGCAAGCCATTTGAAGACTACTTATTCCTTGGGAATTATGAGAACATTTCATGTAAAGTATTTAAAAACCTTGCTAACTCATAGGCTGTTCTTAATACAGGTGCCAGTGAAAGGAAAAGTGGCATGAGCCCAACTGCAGCATATCATTGTTCACATGCTGCTGGGGCTAAATTATGTCTGTCACAGAAACCACAAACTAGACCAGGGGTCAGGCTCATTGCTGCTCATCCTGCCAAGCACAGACCGCAAGAAAAAGAAAAGGTAAATAAATCCTCTTCAAAAAGGACTCTGGAAAAATATTCACATAGTCTACATCCACCCAGGAGTTCCTAGGCAAGGTGGAGGAGGAGCAAGGAGGGTGTTCTGAGATTGGAGAGAGACAGAGCGAAAGAGATGTGATATGATGGCGATAAGGGAGAGATTTTGAAACAGAAAGGATAAATGTAAACTGCAAATGGAGAGATAGGGAATGAAACAGAATTTCAAGAGATGTGGGGGTGGGAGGGATAAAGGAAAGTACTGGAGAGAAGTGTAGGGTGTTCAGAAGAGCAGAGAGTCATCAAAAGAGGGACGGAGAGGCGAAGGCTGACTGTTGATCTTTTCCCAAATCCAAAAGCTGCTCATTGGCATCCCAATAAATCACTCTACTACAAAGCTCATACAATGAACTGTCCTTTGCATTCAGCATCAAGCAGCTTTTAACGAAATATCACACAGCTACAACTTTGAAGACCTAAGGATCTTAATTTAAAATGAACAAAATTGGCTCAGCAACAGAAGACAGCCAGTAAAGACTTTCCCCCATGTCTGACTCAGCTATGAAAAGGTTTAGCATTCTAGAGTTAAGCAAATTCTCTGGCATTTCTCCTTCTTTTGACATTCCAAGAGGGGGTGTGGTTGACCCCAGGTCCATTCATTTCCAAGGTTGTAGATCTCCCAGCTAAGACTGGCCCCATCTGTTGTGAAGCCAGCCAGCTGTTTATCTCAAAGTAACATATTTATTGCCCTAATCATCCCTATAACTCTTACAGGAGCATCATATAAGTCAGAATCCTTTCTGTTCTGTTAAACGTCAGTTCGTTTAAAAAAAAAAAAAAAAAGAGGGGGGCAACAACAACAATAACGAAAAAAACTACTATGCTCCTTGGTTTCCCTGACCAAGATCACTCTTCCCATGGGCACTTTTCAGTAATGGCAAATGAAGGTTAGCAGCGCTTCTAACTTTGCCTTTCTCTAATGTGTTAAAATGAACCCGGTTTCCCTAATCGATCTCTTCATACCGTTATTTGTGAGTAGCAACTATGCTTCAGGAAACAGCAGCTCATTATGGTACCATTGTCAGTGGCAAAGAGCCTATGCAATGTAATTTAAAACACAAGCACAAATCTGTCGGCTCCACTTCCAAACAATCTTGAATCCAGCAGCCGGAGAACGGAAAACACTTAACAAAAACGCTGCTTCCAGCAGCCTCAGAGAATCTTCATCAGACACGTGAAATGTTTCTGACTGGCACGGAGTGCACCATTAAAGGACACTGTCACCTCAAATCAGCAGAAAAGGCGAGACAAACGACATAGACATACACACAAAATAAATCCTACAAAACTTAAGCACGTTCATCTTAAAAATTAATAACGTATACTCGTCCAAGCGACACACAAACGTTCTAAAGTAGTGCGACCACATTAAATCACTGTCTCCATTTCTCCCCACGCATCACCCCTTCCCACTCAAACCTCAGCTCTCGGGCCGTGTGTGACGGGACTGCAGTCCCCCACCTCTGCCTTCCTCTGATTTTCCAAGAGCACTCCCCAACATCCTTCCCAGCCCAGCCCCCTCTCCAGGACTCAAAAAGGTTGAGAGGAGTTGCGACTAGGGAATTGGCAGGCACCCGTCCTCTGGCGGGGGAAGGTTGCTGGAGTTGTTCTTTGCAGTGACCCAAATTGCACAGAGCTTTTCCCCTCAGCAGCGCCTGCGAGCATCTCCCCAATCCCCCCCACCTCACCACCGCTCACAGCTTCCCAAAAGAAAGCCTTGAGAACTAAGCGGGAGGAATAACTTGGTAAAAGCATTTGAAAAAAATCACTTCAACTCACCTGGTTTGGGATTTTTCTCCCCACCCCAGGCATAAACAGAAATGATGTGCGAATGAGTCACGCACGCAAGGAAAGGTCTGCGATGTCCTGAGTCCAAGGGCTGGAGTCAGTCCCTGCCCTAGTGCTGCTGCTACTCTTAGCTTAGCTGGAGCGAGCGGCAATCGCAAGCCCAGCAGCAGGGGGTGGAGAGACCGTAGCACAATGAATGCAGTGAGGCTTTTGCAATGACATCATCCCTCTGTCTAAACGTCCCCAATAGCCATGCTCGGAAGCGGTGCTTTCTGGGAGCTGTAGTCTTCTTAAGTCCTGGCAGGATACCGAGGCCATTGCTGGAACTACAATGCCCAAAATGCTCCAAGACCGACGCGCCCAGAGCGAAGGAGCAAAGGGGACTCGGCCGCCATGTTAGGAGTACTGGGAAGATTCCGCGGAGCCAGGCAGAGGTTTTAGGGGTGCGCGGGAGTCGAGTGGTGGTTCAGTAGGGATGGTGAGGTGGAGGACGAGCCGGTCGGATAGCTGCGGGGCATGAACCTGGGAACCAGAGGGTGGAGGTCGTGCTGGGGGTTGATGTAGAGCGGGACTGACTAGAAGCGGTATGCAGAGGCCCAGTGAGCCTCGGTCTCAGTTCTTGAAGGTGTTGCATGGGGCCCTACGCTTCCTTCTCAGTTTTTTAGCTAAGCGATTGAAAGAGTCGGTTTACTTCTGGGCTTGGAGTATCATTTAGGTCGGTTAACAGTACAGTTGAGAGAGTTAGTGTTTTTGTTGAGGTGCGGGGGACCCTAGGTGGCGACCCTCGCCTTTATTCTGAGAAGCCGACTTCCACCCGCAGAGTTGTGCTCGTCCTCCCAAATGCATTTTTGTCTTGCCGTTTGTTTTCCAACCCTCCTTCCCTCTCCCCAAGGTTTCAGATTCACTGATTTGTCATACAGGAATGATTAGCAGAGGCGTCCGAAGAAATCGTTGGAAGGTAGTCAAGCTGGAAAGAGACGTTGCTTTGGCCCCTCGAGTAAGAAAAGAGAAAAAGCAGCCTAAAGGAGTAACACTAGATTTAAAATGATGACACTTTTCCACCAACCAGCGAAAGCAGATGTTCAAAGGGGATATTGGCCGAGTGCAGTGGCTCATACCTTTAATCTCAGCACTTTGGGGGCCGAGGCGGGGGGAATCACTTGATCCTAGGAGTTCAAGCCCAGCCTGGGCAACATAAGGAGACACCGTATCAACTCTACAAAAACATTAAACAAAAAAATTAGCTGGGCATGGTGGCGCACCGCTGTAGTCCCAGCTACACTAGAGGCTGAGGTAGGAGGATTGCTTGAGACCGGGAGGTTGAGGCTGCAGTCAGCTTCGTTCATGCCACTGTGCTCCAGCCTGGGCGATAGTGCCTGTCTCAGAAAAGTGGGGAGAGGTGAAATATTACTGATGATACATCTGCCGACGCCTGACAGTAGGTTCCAGAGTAACATGGGTTATGGATAAATTGTTTTTAAAACTAAGTAACTGAAACCAAAGTTACTTGTCTGTTGAGTGATTTTGCACAGAATCTCAAAGGAACTGTAATTTTTTCTTGTCACTGAAACAACGCTGTGTGTTCTTTCACAGAGTCTGTCTGCACTTTGACAACATGGGAAATTTCTTTTCCTTCTGAAAGTGTCTAATGTGTTAAAAATAACTGATATACTTTTTGCTGTTTCCTCCCTTTTGCACATTATTCTGAAACAAAATTAACCAGTTACTTTGAGTTATTGAAGGTATGCACTTCCCCTCTATGTTAGGAGTGAATAAAATTAAAAATAGATCCTCATATCAAAGAAAGTCTAGATAGAATAATTTTAAATTATCAAAAACACTTTGGAAAAATCTTATATGTAATGTTTCTGGGAACAAGTCAAGATGCATGGGTTTGTTTGATTTTTAAGCAAAAGTAATATGTGTTGTCATCCATGAATACAATGAAAAAGGCTCATACAAAGTTTTTGTTATTCAGAAACACTAAGTAATGATGGTAAGTATAGGAAAAGGAACAATATACTATTGTAATGTTGTAAGCTTAATAGAAATTTACATTTAGGCTTTATTTCACGCTCTTCGGTTATTTTATTTTCTTCATATGAACTGTAGCTTTGTTGTATGTTCAGTTATTTTTAGCGGTTGGTGATTTAGGTGTATTCTCGTGTTTTATGTAAACTTATGAATCTTATTCATTTTATAATATATTTCTTTAAGCCATAACCTTGTCAGTTCGAATTATATGGAAGACAAATCGTAGGGGAAAAGAGCAAGAAATTACTCAAAAGCCTGTGTGTGAGCTGGGCATGGTAGTGCATAGCTACTTGGAAGGCTGAGGCAGGAGGATCACTTGATTCCATTAGTTTGAGGCTGCAGTGAAGTATGATTGTGTCACTGCACTCCAGTCTGGACAACAGTGAGACTGTGTCTGTTTTTTAAAAAAAGAAATCTTGTGTGTGAAAAGTGATACCTATAGAATTCAATGATTTCTATAATTTGTCATGTATTTGGGTAATTGGAAGTTTTTCTATCCTTATACCTAATGGACATCTATCCATAAAGATGGAAAAAATCCTCCACTCTTTAGAAATTTGATTTACAAAATTAATATTTGAGGAGCTGTGGAGGCCAGCTTTTGAAAGAATAACCTCAGCGTCCCAAAGAAACACCACAGGTTAGGAAAACATTGTTAAAGTGTAATTAGAAATGTCTAGAGGAGATAAAGCTTTTCATCTCTCAAAAGAGAATTAGGGCCAGGCATGGTTGCTGACATCTGTAATGCTAGCATTTTGGGAGGCCAAAGTACGCAGATCACTTGGGGCCAGGAGCAAAACCAGCCTGGCACAACACCCCTTCTCTTCAAAAAATAGAAAAGTTAGCTGGTATTATAAGCGCAAGCCACCACATCTGGCTAACATTTTTACTTTTAGTTAACAATACTCCGGAAACTAAAAAGTGTGTTTTCTATTCTTCGTGACCCAACTTGAGTTTGAAACAAATTTACATAATTTTAGTTGCTTAATATGCTGCTGAAGATAAATGTGGTAAATATCCCAAGGTCAAGATTTGAAATTCAAATGTTCATAGTAGTGATTAACAGGAAAAGAAAGTCCTCATTATTTTATTTCTCAATTTTTAACAGGTTTTTTTGTTGTTGTTTTTGTTTTTACTATCTCCAGTAATGGGTGTAAGCAAAACAGGTTTGTATAATTAAGGGAACACTAGAAACCTTTTTTTTTTTGAAATGAAGTCTTGCTCTGTTACCCAGGATGGAATGCAGTGGAATGGCCTCGGCTCATTGCAACCTCTGCCTCCTGGGATCAAGTGCTTCCTGCCTCAGCCTCCCAAGTAGCTGGGATTACAGGCATACGCCACCACGCCTGACTGATTTTTGTATGTTTAGTAGAGATGGGGTTTCACCATATTGGTCAGGCTAGTCTTGAACTCCTGACCTCGTGATCAGCCCGCCTAGACCCCCAAAGTGCTGGGATTACAGGTGGGAGCCACCACACCTGGCTGAAAACATTTCTTTGCAAGAATAAATATATGAACATGAACTTACTGAGTGTAAATATGTTCATGAATATAGCCACTGAAGGAAATTCAAATATGCAGAGATGTTCAGCTGTGTGCAATTATGTAAGTAGGTACATATTTATGAAGCTTAATTTGATGTAGAATCGGAGGGTTCTGCTTATAAACTTGCTTAAAGATTCATCAAAGTCACCCTCTTACACCTAACTCCTGATTTCATGAATATAGCACACAGGTGCTTATCAAACAATACCGTGGGGACTTGAGCTGCTCCAGCACCAGAAGATAAAATTTAGTAACTGATCCTTTAGATAGCTAAGTGATGTTTTTTTTAAAAAGACTAAGCCAAAGTAAAACAGCTTTCCTCCTTCCCTGCCCTCTCCAACCAAACTTTTAGCCATTTTATTTATTTATTTGAGTTAGGGTCTAACCATGTGGAGTGCAGTGGCTATTCACAGGCATAATCATAGCAAATGGCAGCTGCAGAATCCTGGGCTCAAGCGATCCTGCCTCAGCCACTCAAGTAACTAGGACTACAGGCGCATACTGGGGCTTCTAGCCATATATGCAGTATTAAATGACAACTTCTGTAGTTTCTTCGTACTTGTCCCTGTAGAACTGCACAGTGTGTATTCTCTTGGCTCAATTATTAGCATATGGAGAACCGTTTCCTTGTGAATGTCTTGTATTTTATATAACGAAACCAGGAAAACCTAAATTTTTAAACATGCTGAAATTAAAACAACTGAAGTATTTTGCTTTTGCCTTTAAGTGGTTATTTATAGAAGCATACTATTGCAGATACACTTAGCTTTCACTGCAATTACAGTAGTGCAGCTAACTAGCATGTTCTGTATGTGTTATCTAAATGACCTGTACTGGTCATGTGCTATTTCTATGGAATACTAACAGTAGTATGGTACATTTATGCAGTCTCAACAGTTTAACATATTATTTTGGTGATAAACTGCTTACATTCATTTGTTTTTACATTTGGCAGTCTAAATGCAAGTGTCTCCATTTCAGCTCTGTTTACTCTGTATATCTTTAATGTTGGGCATTATGCCTCTTTCTTGAGTTCCAGTCCTATGACTGTTCCATTTTCAGTATTCATGTTTGTCTTTCCAAAATTGTTTTGCTTCTGTTTCTTGCTGCTCCTGAGACGATTTATGGGCAAATTTTGTTGCTTTTCAGCTGGCAGTGTATTTCCCTGTGAGGAGTTGCTGGATTGTCTCATTTTCCAGATAAACTGAATTAATGTAGTAGTGAGAAGTGAATTAATGGAAATGAGAAAAGAAGTGGGTTCTGAAATTAAACTTCTTTTAAGAGATTTGGCTCTGAAAAAGGCAAGAAATAATGGATTTGAGAGGGCAGGATTGCAAGGATTTGTTTAAGATGGTAGAATAGGCATAAGCATATTTAAATTTCCCTACTTGGGGGTAAAATCATACAGTACCTCAGTTCAGTCCGATAACTTTATAAAGGAACTTGAGGACAGAAAGTTCTGTCCTGGCCTGAAATCCAGCCAGGAGGAAAGAAGAAGACCTCTGAAGTAATTTTTAAACTTTTTTTCTACATAATTGATTTTCATTTGATTATTTTTCTTTCCCATAGCTCCTATTTGCCAAGTTTTTCATAGCTTTCTATTTAACCAAACTTCTACTCCCAAGAATGGTGGATATTTATGATTCTAATTACAAAAACACATGGCAGTGATCACTCTCAGCTTCCTTAAAGAAATTAACTTGGTTTGCTTTTCATACCTATGTCATTAATAACCTCCTTGCCAAACCTAACTAGGTTCCTCACCACCGCTATTAGAGAAAACTGATGCTTGGTTGAACCAGAATGTCAAATGTGAACAGAATTTGTCTGTGTTGTTGCCCAGCTATGTTTATCAATATATATTACTTGGAGGAACAGAAATCTGAGATAATTGAATTCATTAGGTTACTTACGTGAAGATTTAATTGTATGAATACAAAAAAATGCGCAAGGAAAGGAAAGAAACTAACACCATAAGGCAACAAAGCCCTCCATAAAAAGTAACCCAATTCTGACAATTAGGAACTAACATCCATTAGCTGAAGTCCTTCTCATTACCCAATAACCTAAGTAAGCTGCTTTCTGTCTTGAGAGATTTAACTGATAGAATAAATGGAAAGAAGTTAGTACAAGAAGCAGTTGGCCAAGCATGGTGTCTCACACCAATAGCCCCAGCACTTTGAGGGGCCAAGGTAGGCGAATCACTTGAGGTCAGTTTTCCAGACCAGCCTGGCCAACATGGTGAAAACCTATCTCTACTAAAAATGCAAAAATTAGCAGGGCTTGGTTGCGGGGGCCTGTAATCCCAGCTACTCAGGAAGCTGAGTCAGGAGGATCACTTGAACCTGGGGTCGGAGGTTGCAGTGAGTCGAGATTGCGCTACTGCACCCCATCCTGGGACAAAGCTCCATCTCAAAA